TTAGATATAGCTGTGTGTACGCAGATTTTTATTGGGGGATTTCTAGCCCAGACACTGTTTTGAGTAGCATCTTCATGCTTGGACTCAGTGTATTTTAATGGCAGTCAACAGAATGGTTTCTTACAAGTCAGAATTACCCCCTCGATCACAGGGCCTCCGGTATCACTGGGCCCTGAAAGAGATGGACGCTCCCTAGAGACTGGCTTTAAATCTGGCCCCCTCCCCTCCTGGTACCCGGGCCCACTCGTGCCGTCTGAGCAGAAGCTGAGAATGCAGAGCGTGGTCGCCATGAAACAATGCTAGCCAGACGGGCTGTGGAAATAATCGAGTCTGCGGGGCGCCCCATAGAGAGCCGTCAGACCAAGTCTGCTCTGGGGCTGTCTGCTGGATGGTGAGCGTTCAGAAATCAATGCTGCATCTGCCAGTGGGCCCTCCGGTTCACTGCAACTCCCACCTGCCTGATGCATCCGGGCAAGAGCTTTTCAGAAGCCAGTTTCCTTCAGGATAAATTTAATACGTCTTGAGGGCCAGGCGCAAGCAAATTGATTCTACCTCTGCACCAGGAAAACTCATAAACATCTGTAAGAACACAGATTTTCCACAACCTCAGGATTAAGGGATGCTATTTTGTGAGAGATCCCAAGCCTACTCCCTTTGTACCTCATGCCAGCATGGCGTTTTTTAATTAGGAAGTTGATTAAAGAGGGCACGGTAGACCATGGATGTATGGTCCTCTGGCATGCTTCCAGCTGTTTGTTGTCTGGGTCGTGCTCGTCACCAGTTGCAGGCGAGCGGGGGGACCGGCGATGAGGCCGAGGGCGGGAGGACAGAGCTGTCCTGGGGCGAGTGCTCGTGGCAGCTGCCTGTGGCTTCCTCCTTGCAAGCCTTCTCTGCAGACACCCTTGCTGGCCCATGAAAGCGGCGATCCCTGCACTTGGAGCACACGAGTCCTGCCTGCCTCGCACACTGATTCCTCAGTGGCCACTGTGATAGGCCACAATTTATTTGCATCTTTTGGATTCAAAAATCTGACCTCATGTCGTGGAATTTGGCAAAAAGGGTCACAGTTCCCGGAATAGCGCTGTGCTGTTTATCTTTAAGAGAGACTGGTTTTATTTTTTCTTTTCTCTTTCTTTCTTGTTTGAAGGGGAAGCACCTTGCCTCACTGGCTCTTTTTAGGACAGTGAGCATCTTATCGGAAGAATGAAAGTGGCCCTTGACTTAGTGTCCTGTGGTCAGTGTGACGTGGACAAGCGCCACGTGATGAGTGAATTCCTGCCCCTCCCGTGAGCTCTTTGCAGAGCTTTTTCTCTGCCCAGAGCCCAGAGAGGCAGGGAGAGATGACCACGGATGACCGAGAGATGACCAACTGAGCTTGGGCCGTGGGCTGGCACCCAGGCCGCTGCGTCCAGGACAGACACTGGCTCAGGCTTCAGGGTCGGGGGGGGTGTCTCCCTCGGCGGGAACTCCAGCTGCTAGGAGAGAGGTTCTTTTTTTGTTCTCCTCCTCTCAAGCCCAACTCGCACACTTATGAATTATGTTTAGATTCCGTGTTTTTAAAGTTTCTTAGCAGTCTAGTTAGAGTTAGTAACAAGGATAGGCAGTCCAGGGGCTCCTTCACAGTCTTCCCCGGAAGAAATAATATCAAAGTCAGTGGTGAAAACTTAAACAGAGAGCTCTTAAACTCAGCTCCTCCCTTCACATTTAGCGCATCGATGAGCAATTCATACATCCTGCATGCATTGAGTGCCTACTGTGTACAGACCCAAAAGAGGTAGCACTAAGACAAATTTCTAACCCACAGTGAGTCAGGATTTTATATATATATAATTATACATATATTTATGTACATATAAAATAAGTATATATTAATATATATCTATAGTATATATTTATAAATAAAAACTGCAAATAATTTTATATAAATTTATTTATATATTTGAATATTTATATAAATATAAACACAATATAGCTATTATTTATGTTATATTATACATGTAAAATGTTATATTACATATAGCATGCATAATGTTTTATATTTTATAATATATATAAATATATACTTAGTAATCACAATTCTTCTATGTCTATTTTTTCTTGAATACGTTTTGAATTAGATTAAGCCATTTTTCTTAATAAGAAGAGGAAGATAATCATTGATGTCCATTTCTGAGATGATTAATACTTCAGGGACCCAGGTGATCATTCTGAAAATCAGCTCAACTGCATGGGACTGTATGACCATATTTCTGTATGTAATTGAATATGCGATTTGAGTTTATCCCCTTCTCGTGGAATCTGAACTCTGAGTGTGGGAGGGCTCTGGGCAGTGGGCCCTCGCTCGTCGTGGCTAGTGTTAATATTTGTTTAGCTCTGTGTGTGTGCATCTGTCACCCAGCCGTGTTTGACTCTTTGCGACCCCGTGGCTGTTCCCAGCCAGGCTCCTCGTCCACTGCCCCCGTGTGATTCATAGTTGTGGTTGAGTGAGTCTTCGCTTGCATGAGGATGCACAGAACAGGAAACAGATTTTTGTTTTGAGGAAAGAGTGTTGGTAAACGTCAGGTGTCTGTCTTGCAGTTTCTGGACATTTTAGAACTGTCGGTCCCAGAGACCAGGGGCAGAACCCTTGAGGCAGGCCTGGTGAGTGCAGATCGCAGCGGGGCAGCCTCCCACGGCAGCGCCTTCTGACTTGGATCTGTGACGTCAGCAGTTGGCCCTGCCTGACGCGGGCAGCTGGGCAGGGCGGCCACGTGGGCACCCACAGGCTCACCGCTCGGCTGGAGAGACCTGGAGAGAGGAGAGGAGAGAATTCAGGTCAGAACCTGCCCGTGCCTTCAGACCCTCGGATGCCTCGCCACGTTCCCAGGGAGGCGGGTCTGGCCAACATGTCTGTCTGTTCAGAATTTTAAAACTCGTGTAAAAGGAAAGTTAGATTAGAATTAGAGTGGTGTACCCTCTCAGGTCTGGAAATTTAAGTAGCTCAGACCTCAGAGAGCTGCATGTCTGTACTTCCAAAGGGAACTCTGAGATTGTATAGAAGTGAGAAGTGCTGGAGGCTGCTAGATGCTTGTGGAAGCATTAGTAGGTTCACTCAGATAAATTTCAGGCCCGTTTGTGACTTGTGCTCTGCTGAGCACGGCACACTTGGTGCTGAATTAACACTTGGAATCTTCCACGAACTTTGTGTTATGGATCTTCCAGTATCTTTTGCAGTTCTTTCCATAGTCCTGAGAACAAGCATGGAGGCAGTTTCACCGCCCAAATGTTCTTCCGTTAATTTGCCATTACTGGGATTTTGTTAGCTCAAAAACAAGCCTTTTCCCTAAGAGACCCACACCCACAGTGCAAGCCAAGAAGTGTTGTGTGTGCTCCCCAGGGCCGAGTTAACACACCTGTTTACAACTGGGCTGAGCCACCTGTTCATCTAGTTAATGATCAAAACAGTGTCTGATCAGTGGGGTCAGCTGGATGGGAAGGATGATGAGGTTTGTGAGATTAGATGTGACTTCTCATTTTTAATACGTAGCCTTTCGTGTATGTTAAATTTTGAAGGAGTTAGAAAATACACTCAGCCTGTGATAAATATTCATGGCTATCAGCATCCAGGGGTCGGAGGCAGAATGTGTCCAAGGTGTTGTTTGACCAGTGATATTCTATCCTTGGTGCTTTTATGGCTTCCAGATTCATATGCAGATGGAGTCATTTGTTTTAGCTTCAGAGGTATTACTCAATGTGAGGGGTGCTGACTGGGCCATCAGCATTAGAAAAATAGGCCTCTGTGTATGTAGTACAAAAAACACAAGCTTCAGCAGCACATGTCCACAGTTCTCTCGCTGCACAAAGCAGTTCCTTGCCGGCTGCCCCCCAGTCCTTACCCCGTTCTCCCGATGGGAACGTGCCCACTGGCTGGACAGCAGCAGCATCCGACTTTCTCCCGCCCCTGGGTGTCCAGGTAGCCAAGGGAGGACCACTGACAGACCCTTGACTGATGCTCAGGGCTCTCCCAGGGTCAGAAGCACTGCTCTAGCTGGGCGATGTGTTAGACTGCACTTGTCTTATTAGGTTCTGACTAATTCTCCAACATATTAAAGATGACCAGTGACACTCAGAAGTCTCTTTCCCATTAACTTCTCAGAGGGAATTTTCACCCAATATTATCCATTTTGGTCATCCTTAGTCATCTTTTCCTTTTTAAAAAAATGTTCCTTCTTACTTTCCCCGTGAGATTTTCCACCCCTAGCTGATTTGACTGTGACGGTGCTCACACAAAGGCCACCTCATCCTGGTCCTGCTCTCCCTGAAATTCAGGGGTGACTTTGAGCAAGTCCTTCCCACTCTCTGTGTCTTGTGTGTGTGCTGAGCCGCTAAGTCGTGTCCAACTCTTTGTGACCCCAGGAACTATATAGCAAGCCAGGCTCCTCTGTCCGTGGGATTTCCCAGGCAAGAATACTGCAGTGGGTTGCCATTTCCTCCTCCAGGGGATCTCCCAGACCCAGGGATGGAACTCGCATCTCCTGCGTTGGCAGGTGGACTTTTTTACTGCTGAGCCATCAGAGAAGCCCCCGATGTCTTGGGATCCTTTCTTAAAATGGAAGGTTGAACTCCGTCAAGTCTCAGCTCCTTTTTGGTTCCAGTGCTGTGCGTCTCTGTATCTGCCACTCCTGGGCAGGATCTCCTCTGCAAAGTTGTCACTGTGCAGTGTGGGGCTTCAGGCTGTGGACTGTGACCCTGCCCAAGGGCAGCGCCTCCTGCTCCTTGCCTGGGGTCATATATAGGGAAGAGCAGGAAGCAAGCCCAAGCCCAATAGCTGGATAGTTTAGCGGAGGTGCCATTAGATTGATAATCTCACCCAGCATGGCTCAGGCGGGCAGCACTGACATAGGACCCATCCAATCAGAGGCTTCTCGGTCACCTGGAGAAGTCAGTGGCCTGTGTGCAGAGCTCAGACGTGGGGCTGACAACCAGCTTCCTCTGCAGGTCTTTCCCTCTTGTCTGTGACCATGATTTCATTTTGCTTCGGCGAGGACCCCATGGTGGTGACGGCACATGGTGAGCCATCCTGGTGGAGCGCACGCCTCCGCGGGGTGTGCGGGCTCCATCACTCCTGCTCTGCTGCTCTGCACTCGACCCCGGGGCGGCGGGTCTTCTCTACCTGCCACAGTGCAGGCAAGCGCCTGTGCCAGCATCGCGGGCTCCTTGCTGGAGGAAATGGCCCCACTGGCTGTCTCGTCTTCTTTTCAAGAAGCACTGTTTAGACAGTAGTAATAGCCCGGGTACACACAGGTTAATAACAGTACATTTTTAGCAGCTAGCATCCATTATCTGATGCATGTCCTACTTCTAGTAGCCTGAAGCACCCAGAGTGACAAACAAGACCCTGTGGGCCCAGATAAACACCAGGTTTTCACCACGGTAGCCAATGGCATGCCCAGCAGTTTAAAAGAGTGGGCTAAATATTGTCCTCAAAATACCCCAGTGAGGTCGAGAAGAGCCCTAAGTCCATTGTGGGGGAGGAAATGCGACGGGGACTCACCCCACGGGTGAGGCTAGACAGCTCTCCCTGCGCCTGCTGAACCGTGGGCTTCCCCCGGAGTCACAGAAGGCTTTCCAGGTCGCTGTTACCGAGGAGGCTCCTTTGGGAAATTTTAAATGAAGATGTGTTTCATTTAATACAAAACCCGCTCCATCCAGAGTGCAGAACGCCATATGCAGAACTGCTCTCTGAGCGCTGGGATATGCGTCTCACTCCAGAGGCAGAGGAGAGGGGGTCCGAGCCAAAGCAGGGGCGGAGCATCCACAGGTAATGCAGAAGTGCTCAGGACGTCCACTTTGGCTGCTTCCAGCTCTAATTCCAGCAGATGTGGTAAACAGGGCCAACTAGTAAGACCAGCCTTTTAGGAGATAAGGCGTTCAGTACTGCGACTTCCCTGGCAATCCAGGGGTTAAGACCTTGCCTTCTAATGCAGGAGTTGAGGGTTCGATCCCTGGTCGGGGAAATAAGATCCAAAACATAAAACAGGAGCAATATTGTAACAAATTCAACACTTTAAAAAATGGTCCATAACAAAAACATCTTTTTAAAAAGTTCCATATTATATGAAAAACTGATAAAAATAGACTATCAGGAAGGCATCATAATGACAATAATCTTAGCTCATACTAACAAATGCACAGCACTGAATGCTTTACTTAAGGATTTTATGCGAAGTCCACAAGAATCTATAGGATTACAGGTACTGTTATTATCTCTATGATTGGGAAAGGCAAAATAATATGGTTATTAAAGGGTTCAGGTTATTATATATTATATATTAAGCATATATACCATATTGTTTAAGAAAATAACCCCCCTAAATGAAAGCTTTTTATTAAACATGAATGTAATTGAAGATTTTCCATATCTATAATTCAGAACTTGTTTAGGCCAACAATCCTGATATTAAGTAGATTCAGCACTTATTTACAGAATATGATCTAAATATATGACTATCTAGAGGTTTATCATTTCTACTGAATGATTAACTAAAGTCTTACGACATTCAAAAATAATTCCATGAGGTGTCTTATAAAATAGTTAAAAGACATCTAACAAAATAACGGGAATAGTTATTTCTTCTTTGCTCTGGAAATTTCTATGTTTGAGTGAGGATTTTTCTTTTTTTTACAGAGAGAGGTATGTTACAGATAAATTATAATGAGTCCTTTAACAGAGTAAGGGTTGTGCCCCAAACATGGTCATAAAAATTATGAAGCCATGCAATTCAGCCTTCATTATGGCTTTCAAATTAGTAATACCTGCTCCTCTATGTTGAGATCAAACTTGAGCATGACTCACGGGACACAGAATGTCTCTTAGAGTGAAAAAACACACAGCGTTCTCCCTCACGTTCCTGCAGCAGAGGATGGAGAGCCCACCCCTTGAATCTCTCCTGTGAGCCCGTCCCCCTTGTCCCAGAGGTTCTCTGCACTCCAGCAGGATGTCACATAGGGTCTCTTCCTACATAGGCTCTCGGAGGAAAGACATTCAGCCTTCCTCTTATACTCTTGCAAAATTTTTCAAAACATAGTTATTTCAAACTACCTTATGAACCGATACCACGCTTCTCTGAAGCCTTCGGAATGCTCGATTTGTCATCTGCTGTCAGTCCCTGCTGAAATGAGGCAGACAGCTGCCCAGAGAGCTGCAGGGCCTCCAGAGGGCCCACCCGGAAGTCCCCGCCCCGCACCAGGAGGCAGTGAGTGCCGGGAGCTTCTTTCTGGGGCCCATGGACTTCTGATCCCTTTCTGCTTCCAAAGTTTCGTTTCTAGACCAACTGAGATTTTCATAACATGTGCTAGATGTTATTACTCTTTTTATTATTATAAACATGCCATTACTGAGCCAGGGACACTGAAATGATAGAACTAAACAACAAGCCACTACTTGCTTCCCCAGTCTTCACTGATGCCTTAAAGGCTGTGAGTGTAGAACCTGTGTCTCATCACTTACATGTGTATGTTCTACAAAGGAAAGTGTGAGTAATTTCTCAGGCGTTGAGTTCATGCGATTCCATGCTTTTGATTTTGCTCCGCTCCGCACCCCGGTCACCCACAGTGTGTGTGTTCTCTGCTTCATTCGCTCTTTTCCATCAAGGCGCCTCAACCAGCAGCTCACCAGCCGTGTGGTGAAGACATGCTCTCCTCTCTCCTGCCCTTCCCCACCCTGGCCCTCTTCCCCTCACCCCCTTTCTGACCAGAGCCTCTCGTGACTCCACTTCTCAGGGTCCTGCCCCTCCTAACGGGCTCCCGCACAGGGTGCGGGTGAGACCCCCACGGACAGGGGTGTTCCTTGCACACCAAGGCGCAATGAACATGGTCCCATCTGTTCCTGTTTAGCTGGATACAGACTTTGCCTCCATCTCTACAGGACTTAAAAATAGGAAGAACGGATAATGGGATGAAACTATCGGAAAAGCTCCCTGTGCTAGGTCGCTCAGTCGTGTCTAGCTCTTTGTGACCCCGTGGACTGTAACCCACCAGGCTCCTCGGTTCATGGGATTCTCCAGGCAGCAACACTGGAAGGGGTTGCCATGCCCTCGTCCAGGGAAAAGCTACCTTAGAAAACCCACAAGTGCTGTATTCTTGTGCAGGGAGAGTAAATTGTGGTCTGTCCTTTGTTGGTCAGAGAGGACACAGCCGGGTCAGAAACCCAAGGAAGAAGCAGTGGAAATGCAAGCAGTGTGGGCAAAGCTAAGCGGGGGCAGAGCGGAGACGAGGCACACGCGTCACCCCTGGTGACCTGATGGGACAGGCCTCACGCGCTGGAGCCCGTTAGCTCCGCCCCTTCCGCAAACTCCCTCTCCATCGCTCCCAGCGGTCCCGAATGCACTCCCATCACCGCCAGCCGCAAGCCTGCGCTTCACCCAAGCAGCACTTGGGTGCTCATACACACGGTTAGAACCTCAGCACTTTTGTTCAAGCACCGCGGCCCGCACGTGTCCCAGCCCCGTGGCTCACGCGTATCCTGGGCTAAGGCGGGGACTCACCGCAGGACCTCAGGATGGTGAGGAAGGGCAGTGGGCACACCCCAATAATAGCTTGAAGCCCCTGCACATGCGGTCACTGGTGTTCAGGGTTTCTGCTGGGCTGATTGGCCAAACAATCCCAGGGCAGAGTCAGCTCCTTGGGTGGAGTATGTCTGTTCTCAAATCCTGAACGGCAAGCGTCTTAGGGGAGATCACAGGCTCGAAGCGCAGTAGGCATGCAGCGTGGTTACTTGGACTGAGCTCCTCGTGGGTGCAGACACGGGGCTAACTCGGTCTCCCTGCTCCCCTGACCAGGGTCAGACCCGCCAGGGAGGGCGGGGCTGGGGGCCCGGCCTTGTCTGAGCACGCGCGGCTCCAGGGTGCATGTTCACATCAACCTCACCCTGCGCGCTTCCCGCCGCCTCCCCCAGACCCGCCTGAGGCCCGTGGCCCTGAGCCTCTCGCGTCCTCGGCCCCCTTTCTGTTACATCAGCGGAGTTGGAGAGGCTTTATTAGAAGAGGCAGGGCAGCCACCTGATCTGGGCTGCGGGCCCCGTCCCTGTCTGGACGCATCAGCGCCAACGCGCAGGGTGGACAGAAGCGTGTGTGAGACGCTTGCTGCGCGTCTGTGGGCTCTCGCTCCATCGGCCAGGATTTACCGGCAGCCTCCTTTTGATCAAAATCATAAGGTCCTCACCCGTCATCTGCAGGCTTGAACCCGGATCCCTCTGGTCGTGTTCAGATCAGACCGGGGTGTGCAGGCGAAGCAGAGGTCAGCGGGGCTGGGAGAGGAGCCGCAGAGCTTCTGCGTGTAACCCAGTGGGGGCAGTGTGTCCGGAGACCGCATGTCTCATGGAGGCGGTTCCTTCCATTTTCTGTTTTTTTACTTGCTCACTCTGTCGGCTATTGGTAGAGGACTTCTCCTGGAAGCTCCCTTCCATCTGAAAGCTGTTCACATAATTATTCTCTCACCCCTTTCTTTAACCACCTCTGTATTGGATTAGATGTTGAGGTTGTAAGAAAATAAATCATAACTCCTGTCTGTTTTCAGGAATTTTATAGACCAATAGGGAATAAAATACAAATTTATAAATGACTCCAGTGTGATGTAAAATTTGATACAAATGGTAAGGAACCACAAATTACATGTTATGATTTTCTCAAAGAAGAGGGGGGCTGTGTCAACAGGGCTCGAGTGGGATAACGTGAAGAAGGTAGTATCAGAGACAGTCCTCAAAAGGAAAGGAAATCTCAGCAGATAATTATAGGAGATGGGAAAATTCAGGCAGGGAGATAAGGTGAGGAGATCTCCTGGGAGAGACGCACATGGCTTTGCCGCCGGACGACTTGGAGGCTGCTTCTTGCCGGGTGGGGGGGCCACAGAGGACAGACCTGAAGCCAGGTGGGGTGGTCCCGGAGGGTCGTGCCTCCCAAGAGTCCTCGTGCGCTGAGATTATGACTTTGTTCTGCAGATAATGGGGAATTACTGGAGGGTTTTGTGTGGTTGAGTGACAAGGCCAGCGCTATTCTCCGGGATAATTAACCTGGCAGCCAATCAGTGGCTACTTCCTGCCAATTCTGTCTCGGAAATAGCTCTCCCAACTGTTTCTTCCCTTCCATTCCTTGCACCGCTCTTGCGGAGTAGACTGTCATTATCTTCCTCCTGGACTGACAGTCCCCTCCGAGGCCGCTCGCCCACCCCCACACGTGCTCTCACTCGCGCTTGTAAATGCAGCTACGTTCCGTTTTTAGACGAATTATTCCAAAGTTCAGCTTTGGCATTTTCGTGCTCACAAAGCACCAGGGGCTTCCTGTTTCCTCCAGGATTAAACCCAAACACTCAGCTACCACGTGAGGCCATTCCCTGCCTATTCTCAAGTCTGCCTCCCAGCCCGGGTCCTGTCCTCGTCAGTTGCGTATCTTCAGGGCGATGAGGAGCTTGACTCTCCCCCACCCTCTTTTAGCTGCGCTGTTGTCCCTAGTGTCCACCCAGGCACATTCTGTCCACCCATCAAAGGCTGGTTCTCAGGCTCCCTTTCCTCAAGTCCTTCCTGTTTCTCCCAGAGGAAATCCAGCCCTCTCCCACAATGCTTTACAGCCTTCATCTTGGTAGGCTTCCCACTTCCTCTCCTGTATGGACAGCTATTTAGGTCATAGTTCAGCCTCGCCTGTGAGACTCAGAGTGCTGCCCTTTGAGCCCATCTTCCTACCTGAACATTGGACGTGGCTGGTGCTCATCGAGCCTGCTGGCGGGGAGGCTGGCGGGGAGACCTGGAGCACAGCACCATCTTTATTGCTCTCAGTTCAGCTCAGTTGCTCAGTCGTGTCTGACTCTTTGTGACCCCATGAACCGCAGCACGCCAGGCCTCCCTGTCCATCACCAAGTCCTGGAGTCTACCCAAACCCATGTCTATCGAAGCGGGGATGCCATCCAACAGTCTCATCCTCTGTCGTCCCCTTCTCCTCCTGCCCTCAATCTTTCCCAGCATCAGGGTCTTTTCAAATGAGTCAGCTCTTCACATCAGGTGGCCAAAGTATTGAAGTTTTAGCTTCAACATCAGTCCTTCCAATGAACACTCAGGACTGATCTCCTTTAGGATGGACTAGCTGGATCTCCTTGCAGTCCAAGGGACTCTCAGGAGTCTTCTCCAACACCACAGTTCAAAAGCATCAATTCTTCGGTGCTCAGCCTTCTTTATAGTCCAACTCTCACATGCATACATGACTACTGTAAAAACCATAGCCTTGACTAGATGGACCTTTGTTGGCAAAGTAGTGTCTCTGCTTTTTAATATGCTATCTAGGTTGGTCATAACTTTCCTTCCAAGGAGTAAGTATCTTTTAATTTCATGGCTGCAATCACCATCTGCAGTGATTTTGGAGCCCAGAAAAATAAAGTCAGCCACTGTTTCCACTGTTTCCCCATCTATTTGCCATGAAGTGATGGGACCAGATGCCATGATCTTAGTTTTCTGAATGTTGAGCTTTAAGCCAACTTATTGCTGTCAGAGTGATCACTATTCCATCTTTTGTGGGGACCTTGCAAGTCCCAGATTCCTGTTCTGATTAAGTGTGAGCTATTTATTTATGCCAGGAATGGCAACCGCCTCACTCTGGTGTGCATTGCCACATCATGCATCTTGAACTTTAGGACTAGTGTGTTGTCACTGCAGGGAAGGAAGTTCACAAGGTGCTTAGGACACATGGATGAGCCAGTGTGCCCCGACTTTTCCCTGAATATCTTGGAGATTTCCTATGAAAAGGATGTCTGTAAACTCCCTGAAGAAGAATTTCATGAGCCAGGTGTACATACTCCTATTGAAAACCTTAGCTGTCCACACACTTTATTTTCCTTCATCTACTTATTCAATGTAGTGTGTTCCCATTCAGACCGTTTGATGCCTCTTAAAAAATAAATAGTTGTGTGTCTGCCACTTGAGTTCAAGCTGCTGAGAAGGACCCTCGAAAACCCAAACTCCTAACGCTTATTCACAGTGATCGATGCTAGTGCTGGGAGGCAAGTGGAATTGAGCTCCTAGAAAGGAAGAGCCCTCCCTTTTCCTGAATTTCTCCTCCACCAGTGCAGGGTCTAGGATGGACAGAGGAGGAGTTAGGGGCTCAGAATCCCGGGATCCGTGTGCCCTGAGAGAGTGTTTCCCAGCAGGGGAGCCTAGGACCTTTCTGTCTAGGCTCAGAAGTGTCACCATGCTGATCCTGAGGAGGAGGAGCCTGGAAGTTAAGTGGGGCACACTCATGCCAGGCCTATGAATGCTGATGTTTCTCATGCTGGGTCATCATGGAGAAACAGCCGCTGGGGGCCTGGACCAGCTCTGTCTGCAGAAGTGACCTTAGGATGGAGCAATCTCAGTGACACGTCTGCTCCTCAGACAGTAAGCATCCTCTCTGCTGTATAATTCTAAGACCAAAAACTTGGTTTCATAATTTAAATAGTGTGTGAAGGTGTTAGTCGGGGACTGTGGCCCACCAAGCTCCTCTGTCTGTGGACTTCTGTAGGCAACGACACAGGGCTAGGTGGCCGTTTCTTCGTCCAGGGGATCCTCCTGGCCCAGGGAGTGAACCTGGGCCTCCTGTATTGCAGGTGGACTCTTTACTGTCTCATACTGAAGTGGGTAGCCATCCCCTTCTTCAGGGGATCTTCCCCACCCTGGGATCAAACCTAAGGCTCTCACATTTCCAGCAGATTCTTTACTGTCTGAGTCACCAGAGAACCACAGTGAATAGTCTTAGTTCAGTTCAGTTCAGTTTCAGTCGCGTCTGACTCTTTGCAACCCCATGAACCGCAGCACGCCAGGCCTCCCTGTCCATCCCCAAGTCCTGGAGTCTACCCAAACCCATGTCTATCGAATTGGGGATGCCATCCAACCATCTCATCCTCTGTTGTCCCCTTCTCCTCCTGCCCTCAATCTTTCCCAGCATCAGGGTCTTTTCAAATGAGTTGGCTCTTCACATCAGGTGGCCAAAGTATTGGAGTTTCAGCTTCAGCATCAGTCCCTCCGATGAACACCCAGGACTGATCTCCTTTAGGATGGACTGGCTGGATCTCCTGGCAGTCCAAGGGACTCTCAGGAGTCTTCTCCAACACCACAGTCCAAAAGCATCAATTCTTCAGCTCTCAGCTTTCTTTATAGTCCAACTCTCACATCCATACATGACCACTGGAAAAACCATAGCCTTGACTAGATGGACCTTTGTTGGCAAAATAGTGTCTCTGCTTTTTAATATGCTATCTAGGTTGGTCATAACTTTCCTTCCAAGGAGTAAGTATCTTTTAATTTCATGGCTGCAATCACCATCTGCAGTGTTTTGGAGCACCAAAAAATAAAGTCAGCCACTGTTTCCAGTTTCCCCATCTATTTGCCATGAAGTGATGGACTGGATGCCAAGATCTTAGTTTTCTGAATGTTGAGCTTTAAACCAACTTTTTCACTCTCCTCTTTCACTTTCATCAAGAGGCTCTTTATCAAGTTCTTCACTTTCTGCCATAAGGTTGGTGTCATCTGCATGTCTGAGGTTATTAACATTTCTCCTGGCAATCTTGATTCCAGCTTGTGCTTCCTCCAGCCCAGCATTTCTCATGATGTACTCTGCATATAAGTTAAATAAGCAGAGTGACAATATACAGCCTTGACGTACTCCTTTTCCTATTAGTGTGGCTGTGCTGAACTAAACTTACTCAGGGAAAATAGCCATTTAGGCATTGAACTTTGTTTCTATGTATTTTAACCAAAAGCTGGCTTGACAAGTCCACTTTCACCATCTGACGTGGGAGAAGCTGAACCCGTGCGGTCCACGTAGGTGAAGTGTGCCCACGGTGACACCCTCTGCCCGCGGTGTTTACCCGGAACTTGCAGTGTCATTTCCCTTCACTGCTGGGCTCCGCTGAGATGGTGGTGGTTTAATAGATGGGGCAGGGGTGTGTTAGGCAGCTGCACAACCTTCAGAACCGAGCCCATCTCGTCTCCAAAGCTGGTCGGAGTTCCCAGTGACACAGACTGACCCAGCCCAGCCTCTCGCTTGACCTGTGGTTCAGGTGCAAAGAGGGAGCTGGCTCCATGACACTTCTTCAGCAGGAGCAGGATGAATGGATTAGAAGATGAAGAAAGAAAAGAAAAACAGTAGTGAATGCTTTCGGTTAGGTACAAGTGAAGAGGATGGGGAAGATCATTAGTGCAAAAGCATAGATACGGCGCTGGGT